CCCTCGTGGAGAGCATAAGAAATTTAACACCATGGTTGTCTTGGTCGCTTGGTCTATTTGGAAAGATCGCAAGGACAGAGGCTTTGAAGATAAGTTGGCTCCATTGGATCGTATAGTAGATCAAATTAAGTGTGATGCTCACATGTGGCTTAGAGCTGAGCAAATGCCTCCAGCCCGTTGATCAAGGTCTTTCTTCTAGTTGTGAGTTATATTATGTGTTAATCATTTTGTTTAAGTAACTTGTGGACTTTGTAGCTCTTCTTCTTCTATTTGCATGCAACTCTCATGTATGGTTTGAGATAAAAACCACGCCGGGTTGTGTCGGGTCGTGACGAAACTATATTTCTTCAATCTAATGCTTGATCATTTGAAATGAAATTTAGGAAGGACCCTCAGCGATAAAAGTTTCAAAACGAAACACTGCTTTGTCGTCCCCTCACAGGGAATCCCTCTAAGAGCATTCTAGACGATCCCCTAAAATATAGAGTAGTAACGTCGGAGTAAAGTCAGTTGAGTAAAAGTTTAGTCCTCTATAGGTGGACGGACCTAGCTGATCCCCTAAACTTAGTGCAGTAAAAAAATCCGCAAATGTTTATCCTAGCCACATGTACTTTGAACAACTGCACAATATATCATCAATCATTCAAATTTTTAAAGATAAAGATGCATAACATGTAAACTGTTAACAAGCATATAATTTCACGGATCGAGATATTCAAATTTAAACATGCATAGTTCATCCAAAAGGCATCACTTCAACGGTCAAATTTGATTCAAAATCACCACAACAAAGCATGTTTTAAGTTGTGGACCGAGGCCAACCAATGGCATGCATGAGCACGGACTCAAACACCTTCCTCGCAAAATAAATCACCACCACCACCATCCTCTCAGCTGTGGCCCTTGTTGCCGGCTGTGGAGGCCGGACGCCGGAGCACTAGTCATAGGGGTGGCCGGGGACGCCGCATGAGCCGCCGGACGGGGACGAGGGGCTGAAGTGGCTTTCTTCTTCTCCTCATCCTTCTTCTTTGCCTCCTCGGCGAGGGCCAGCGCGGTCCTGGCACGTTCCTGCGGCAGGAGCAGCAGGAGGGCGGCCTACCGTCGTCAGAAAGGCAGTAGCCACCCCCAACCGGCCATGGTACCGACGGTGGTAGCCGATGTTGTCGACCGGACAAGACTTTTGATCCCCAACCTTCTTCCCAGTGCAGGAGGTGGCGGTGGCCAGCAGGGTGGCGGAAGGGTCTTGGCTACCTATTCCGGCCGCAGTAGCAATCATTAGTGGCTATGATTGCGAGTGGAAAGGCGGCGGCGGGAACGATGGCGCCGTGCGGGAGGGAGACGAGGTGGGGGGAAGTTTACTCGGCCGCGCGGGTAGCGAGTGTTTTTAGGCGCCACGGGCCAAATTTTCGACCAAGTAAATTTTAGACTCTATAGGATTTATGAGTTCGGTTAGGTCCGATTTAAAAGAGTAAACTCAAAAAATTATTCCTCTGTGGCTTTTTAAGGGATCGACTAGAGATCTAAAAGAGGGCAGCAGGATTCATCTTCTTCCACGGTTGAGATGCTTGCACGAGCCCTAGCTTTCTAACAACTATGATCGGTTCTTTCCAAAAGAGAAAAAAAAAACTATGATCGGTGGTCCGTGGCTGCAGAAAACGATACCTTGCGGAAGGCAGCAAGTACAGTGAGGAAATCTCAGTGGCACATGTCGTTACAGCAAAGTACCTCTCCACCGACGCCGACGTCCATCCACCACATGACTTTTTCTGTTGCGCTGTCGTGCACATGCGAGGAGCGAAGCTAGCTTACGTATTTTCTCAAAACCACGTTTACATATGAACAACTCAGTACAGTCGTAGTTTCTCAACAACAACAAAAAACTCAGTACTCCAGTCGTAACGTACGGGAGCTAGCCAGCCACGTACCGTCACGTACGCCCGGGCGTAAGTACATTTGTACGTATGTACACTGTTCAAGTACACATACTGTTTCCTTTTCGAAAAGCGTACGTGCAGCGGCGCACCCACGTACATGTGTTAGAATTGTGTCGAATATTATTGTACAAGTTAGGTTACAGTTGGACTTGGAGTCGTACGGTGTGTAGACAGGATACGGAGTCGTGTCCAAGTAGGACACTTGTATCCTAGGCCTTTCATATATAGCGGGGGTAGACACACGATGTAACCTATGCCAACATAATAGCACCGAAACGCAGGGGAAGCCGGCGGCATTTGCCGGTGTCCAGGGCGACCGGGTGCGGTATTGTAGCGGTGTCATGGGGAGGAGCGCCCATAGTCAGGCCCCGGGGATGTAGCCATATCGGTGAACCTCGTTAACAAATCTCGGTGTCGTGCTTGTGTGATTGCTTGATCCTCGGTAGATCGACGGAGCACCTCGGATTTATTCTAACAAGTGGTATCATGAGCAGGGTTCGATTCGAGGAGTTGCTGGATCGTTGATTTAGAGAAGAGCGATGAAGACCAGCTGCAGATGAGCACGGCTTGCGTGCGAGACGTCGGGCAGCAATCGGAGATTGTCGCATGTAAAGCAATCAAGAGCAACACGCAGCAGATCGATCCGATGTGGATGCGGCGTAACGTGCGCGGTGGCCAACGCACGCGATGGGAGTAGCAGGAGTCCGCGTACAGCGGCGGCGGCAAGCAGCTCGATCGGGCGTGCGGGGCAAGGCAGCACAAGCGGCGTATTGGATACAGGCGATTGAGCGTCTCGGCAGGATTCCGATCGAACTCGGAGGCTCGGGCGGTGTGTACGCGGGTGGTCTACGTGGGCGGTGCAGCATTGGATCACGTACAGCAGAAGACGCGCGTACGAGACAGCCGGAGGACAAGGTGCTGCGTGTTGGGACATACGTTTGAGATTTGTTTGGTAAAAAAAAGGAATATCTTCACGGACAACGCAGGCTTAGTCAGGGGATCAACTTTTATTGGCAAAGTTTATGCATGCGTCGCATTAGGTACAGGACGCCGTGGCTGGTTGAGGCCTAGGAGCCGGTGCATGAGGTTGCTAATTGAAGCATCAGGAGTTTTTCTATGGAAAATTAGCACAAATACCGAGGGTGTCTTTTGGACAGAGAAGCATGTATGCATGGCGTGAGTGCAATGCGTACGAGAAGCTGCTTGGATCAAAATAATTTCTCGGATGGAAGTGCGGTGTGATGTAGAGTTGGTCAAGATGGAGCGCGTGCGAGGTTGGCGACGTGCGTATAAGGCTTGAAGGAGTCTAGAGCGCGTCGTGACAGGATCATGCAAACACAGGGCATCAAGGCAATGCATAGATGTGTGAGGCGGACACGACGCAGGGTGGAGCATGGTTGCAGTCGGGTTATTTCGGCTGGGTCGGACTGGATAGTCTGATGGACTGACGTGGATGTCGGTCAAAGCAGAAGACGGCAGTGATTTCAGCGACGATGACATAGGAGCATGATGCTGATGGTGGCCGACTTCTGGGGCGTGGAAACACGTGGTGCAGGCTCGAGGGCTTGTGCGGCTTCGACAGACTATGGCGCAGGGTTAATTCAAGACGGTGCACACAAGAGAGCTTGAAGTCGACAGGGCGCGAGGGTAGCATGGCCAGCTACATGGAGTCATGTTGAAGGTGGAGCTGGAGTCTGATGGACGACTTCACTCTGTGCTGATGGAGGGGCTATTCAGCAGGATAGCGAGAGACACGTGGATCGGACTGGGGCCCAATGGTCTGATGGAGACGTGATACTCGGCATCGGTCGGTGATGATCGATGGTTCTCTGCAGTGGGGGTTGAGGCAGTGTGGGCAAGCTACCCGGGAGACTCGACCAGGACAGCAGAGGCTCGATGCGGTGATAGCGGCGAGGCGTGCGGTAAGCACGGGACACAGCGACAGGCCAAGGCACTGGTGGTCAGACATGTGGTCAGACAAATTGTGCAGGGGGTGCTGAAGCAGTGTTGACGAGTACCGAATTCAAGTTGGTGACTGGGTCTATCGGTGCTAGTTGATGGACAAGAGTTGACCGTGGAGAATCTGAGAAAGTGGCGGGAAGTCTAAAATTGTCAAAAGCCGAGAGAGTACATGGCCGTATATTTTGTGGTGTTCAGTGCACATGGCAAAGTGCGGATGACAAGGCAGAAGGAGGCGCAGTGCTATAGTGGTGGGACATGTCAGAGACTATCCGGAAGAAGGGTGAGACAACTGCGAATTTGACTCAGGGTGACACAGGGCGACGGTGAAATTCCTTCAAGTTTCAGACAAGCAGTATAGAAAGAGCAGTGACGTTGAGTTCACGTAACTCTTATATGTGGCGTCCAATATGTGAGTGATTCATTTTTCACGCAGACAGTGATCGGTGTGTGATGTCGTTGAACGGATACTCTGGAAGTTGGAAGCACAAGGTAGTGTAATGAGGAACTTAATTTTGCTCGACTGTTGACTGTGAAGAAGACGAGAAGGGACTACAGTTGCAGGTGGAGTCACATGGAGTCTGGGAGTAGCAGTGGGGCTCATGGCGTATCTCAAGTCCAATGTACATGGAGGTTCGACGCACAGACGAATTCAAGGTGGTGGAGAATATTCGCCAAGGTGGAGTTTGTTAGAATTGTGTCGAATATTATTGTACAAGTTAGGTTACAGTTGGACTTGGAGTCGTACGGTGTGTAGACAGGATACGGAGTCGTGTCCAAGTAGGACACTTGTATCCTAGGCCTTTCATATATAGCGGGGGTAGACACACGATGTAACCTATGCCAACATAATAGCACCGAAACGCAGGGGAAGCCGGCGGCATTTGCCGGTGTCCAGGGCGATCGGGTGCGGTATTGTAGCGGTGTCATGGGGAGGAACGCCCATAGTCAGGCCCCGGGATGTAGCCATATCGGTGAACCTTGTTAACAAATCTCGATGTCGTGTTTATGTGATTGCTTGATCCTCGGTAGATCGACGGAGCGCCTCGGATTTATTCTAAACAACATGTGACTGAACTGAGCCGGATCGATCACGTGTGAGAGGTTTTAACCGGCCATGTGCAGGGACTTGAGCCATTCCTCGTCGGACTCGAGGAATGACGCCAGGGCTCTCACGTCGTCCATCCAGTCTCCCCCGCCCGACCCCGACGAGCACGGCTCGGCCGACGACGTCTCCGAGCTGCTGCTGCCGCTGCAGGCATCTCCCTCTTCTCCCCCGGCCCGCGTCTCCTCTACGACCGGCGCGGGCGGCGGCGTCTCCTGCTCCCGGCGGAAGAAGAGGCCGCCCGTGCACCTCACGGGCTTGGGCGCCCACACCGCGGCGGCCGGCGACGAAGGCGCCGCGGCGTGGAGGAGGGCAGGGACGGAGGTGGACAGCGGCGCCGCGGCGCTCCCCGTGGAGCTGGAGGAGCCGGAGGCGACGGGCGTGGCGACGACGGTCCTCGCCGCGGCAATGGTGGGGCGGGCGGGGAGCGCCTTCCTGCCGAGCGTGCTGTTCCAGTAGTTCTTGATTTCGTTATCTGTTCGGCCGGGCAGCCTGCCGGCGATGATGGACCACCTATTGCCAAGCAGGCCGTGGAGCCTGACGATGAGCTCCTCCTCGTCGTCGGAGATGTTGCCCCGCTTGATGTTCGGCCGGAGGTAGTTCAGCCACCGCAGCCGGCAGCTCTTGCCGCACCGCCGCAGACCTGCATGCAGATTCATTCACTTAGCATGCGTCACTTCCATTCCAGCTCCCCATTGATAGAACCAGAATGCGTTTACGATGGATCAGTACGTACCAGCTCTCTGGGGGAGCTCCCTCCACCTGCCCTCGCCATGGGCCTTGACGTAGGAAGCCAGGATCTCGTCCTCCTTGCTCGTCCAGGCCCCTCGCTTCACCCCTTCCTTGGCACAGCACGCCCTCCTCCCCATCCTCTCTCTCCCTCTATCTCTATCTCGCCGTGTGTGCTTTGTTAGAGAGAGGGGGAGTGGTCTGCGGGCAGCAGGGGTGGTTGGGGTATTTATACACCGGCGCCGCAGCGCGACTACGTGGCCGGCTTAGCACCTTTAAGGCAATCCACGGCCACGGCCTCAAAGTGTTAGATGGACCAGAAGGCCGGGAAGGCTTCCATGTGTGCATGAACAGGGACGTAACCAGAACGGCCGTTCAGCCGCCGTTATATATCGCTGGCAGGGGCGATGATATCCGTCCAAATTCGGTGTCATATTTCTATAACAGAGGCTTGTTCATAGCTGCCTTTTATCTCCAAGTGGCTGAAACGTTACTCCCCCCATTGCTATATTATTGGAGCAGTCTTGCTAAGTAGAGACTTCATTAAGTCTCGATCGATGCTATATCTGTGAGCTCATACATTAAGATCCGTGCAAAAAAATCTTCAGTTTTTTTCTTTTTCTTTTGTATGTTATGTCACTTGATTGAGATTTGATTAAATTTCAGTCGAGTGAGACCTAGACACATCTTTATTGTAAGGGCATATTATAAATACGCACGTCAGCTTCATAGTCTACCACATAGGATAATTTTTGACGTGAAAAGTAGAAAATGCAATCGACACTCTTCTTTAAGATCGAAGGAGACTCTGTGTTAAGATTTAGGCGAATCGTTGGCCTTATTTTTCATGTATTGTCCCATTTAACACCTTGAACTATGCTACATACGATTCTAAATAACGTCGAAAAACCGCACAGTTAATGACTATCTCTTATCATCATTGGTGCTGTAATTGGCTTCGATAGCCAATAATTTATGATATATAACCAAAGCTCTAAATAGCTGGATATATAGTATAACAGAAGCTACAAAAAGATATAGCGAAACTAAGCACCACTTGAGGGTTTTTTCTTAAATCACGAGAATAATAAAGCCCTTCCCTATGTAGGCTAAAAGCGGGCCAATCAGTTTACTTCATTTGACACCGATCCGATGCCCTACACTGCCCAATCGATGCCATATCAAAAATCTAGTGTGAAGTAAAGTTGGCTGCCTGAATTACTTTATGCATGCATGGGCCCTGCTCTTTCACATGCGGCAAGCACATACTGCTAGAGCGGTGCCACAATGTGGTGACAACATTATCAGGTATCAGGCACCGATGTAATTACATAGTGGAAGGCCTAATAATAAAAAGCATACAATCAGACATCATATATGATATAGTATGAATGTATGATATATCACATATACTGCACATACACATGTTCAGACATGAAAAAATCAAGCGTTGATCAGACATCCTTTAGGGTGCATAGCTTTAGCGGGAGGGTTCTCTAAAAGTTATAGTACACTATTTAAAACTGTGTGTATGTCTATTCCTTACTTCTAAAAACTTGGTTTCAAAATAATTATATATATTCAAAAGAAATCAAAAGCACACTTGATGTCATGTTTTTCCATTCCCCAGAAGACTAGTGTTACTCACCACACACTTCCCGTCTATTCTCGAACTCTATGGTAATAAAAAATGTGAAACCAAATACCTTGATTCTGATATGTTCAAAACGCTAGCCTGCTAGAAAGAAAATATGAGCAAATTAAACCATATCCCATCAGAAAGCCGAAGTAAATCATGTCAGAGGGTCTACCAAACACTAGTCATGCATAAAGCGAAGCGCCAGAATGTAAATTCATACACTCTAAATGAAAAAAAAATGTGTTCTTAGAAATACCAACGATTACTTGATTCCCCTGTTTTCGTCGGCGTGACTAAAAGGGCAAACATTACCGGTTGTCATGTGCTAACTTCTATTCCCTCCGTTCCATAATTCTTGCCGTGGTTTTAGTTCAAAATTAAACTAAAACCATGACAAGAATTATGGAACTGAGAGAGTATATCCTTCATGCCATCCATAGTCAATACTAGAGTTGTCTTATATTACTAGTTGTCTCTTATGTTGGCTAGCTATGAGCGAAGACCAAAGAGAAACAATGTCATACAAATAAGAGTATTTATTTGCCAAAACTGGTTACATGACACCCTTATTTGGTGCCAATTGCCTAGACACGCTATGAAACATGACATTGGCTCCTACCATTACAAAATCGATATGGTGGTGTCTTGACAAGAAGATTATCCATTGTCTATTGCTGTGTTTCATATGTGTGTTCATATCTGAGTGTACAAAGTTAGGGCAGGCGAGACATGAGGTGTTTACCCACCATAGGTGACGGCCTGGGGTCCATATCTGAGTGTTCGCCGCCGTAATAGTTTTATTACTTAGTGGCAAATTCATGCATGTGTTGAACTTTTGTATTTCTGTTATCACAAATGAAGATGTTAAAATCTTTTGTCGTTGTGCCTTCTTGATATGATGATACAATAATTAATAAAGCACTCCATTATATTAAACCATTATGAAGTCGAATCCATCTCCATAAAAAAGTAAGTCGAGTCCATTTGCCAGAACACATATTCCAGCGATCCAATTGTTTTTTTCTTTTTTGAAACGGACCAGCGATCCAATTGTTATTTCCATGAAGTATCGTGTGAAGATATCTCAGTAAATCGAACCTTGACAAACGCCCCAACTTTTCCTCTTCATTTTCTGTCCTCCTCCGCCTCTTCGTGTTTGTGTGTTCTGTTTACATCGGTGACGATGTCCGGAGCTTTTGCTCAAGTTCCAGCAATGGTGCCATGGAGAAGGTTTCCGATTGAGGGAGATGCATGGGCTCCGGCCTGCCGGCGCTGGATGCACCACCACTGGCGGCCAGCGTGGAGATGTGGACCTCAGCTCGCTGCTCTCGCTCCTTGCATCTAGCCGGGGCCACTGTCCCCATGCTGGATCTTGTCCGCGATTACAATAAAGACTAGCCAGCTATCTCACCTATAGGGACAAGCAAAGAGCAAGCTGAGGACAAGGATAGGTTATGGACTGATGTGTTCTGTGTTCATGGGTGAAGTCGCCAGGGCCAGCCCAGAAGGGTGGTGGGGCAAAGGGGCGACAGGTCCCAAACCATATCACATATACAGGTATCTATATGCGTGTTAGTGTATATACGTTAGACTCATTAATTATTACATGTGCTGAGATAATAAATAAGGCAAGTAGAATAGCGTATATTTTTGGCACTGAAATACAGTCACTCATCCAAAAAACTTGGTAGATATCTGCAAGGTATAATCAATTATTTAGTTTCCTGCGGTTTTAAAACTTTAATATTTTCTTCTCCACTAGACTCCATGAATACTGCATTCGTGCATCTCTGTAATTCGGATTTATTATTAACATGATTATTTATTTTTAGTCTTGAAGTGCAATCTTTCAATTAAAGTAGATGTAAAACTGTGTTCACAATCTTCAGTATATGTTTAGTGGGTGTGTTGTGATGTACTACCTCCGTTTCTAAATATAAATCTTTTTAGAAATTTCACTACGGACTACATATGGATGTATATAGACATATTTTAAAACATAGATTCACTCATTTTGCTCCATATTTAGTCCGTATTGAAATATTTAAAAAGACTTATATTTAGGAACCGAGGTAGTATGACATATTGAATATATTATGGTGGCGAAGACAAAAGATACAAGTGTTTTGACGTAAAAAGTGGGTCCACATCGTTATCTTTCCATGGGCCCCCCGATGTGCGTCAGGGCTCTAGAATTCGCTTTTGTATTTTTGTATAGATTGGACTACAACGGCAGGGAGACTAAGAGTCAGTGACAGCACCATTTACTCAATTGGAGCCGGTAACACCATTTCTAGGCTCCTCAACGGTTGTTTTTATTTCTCTTTGTTTCTAACCATGTTTAGAACTTTGCATGTATTTGGGTTGTGTGTGTTTTAAGTGCTATGGGGATAAACACTTTCAAGATTGTTTCTATTATGCGGCGATGAGATGATTAAACAAAAGCTTTTATTATCGAAGAGAATGAGCGTTTGCTCAAAATTTATTTGTGGTCAGTTCTAGTTGGATACCGGGAAGGGAGATAGCTAGATTGAGGTTGAAGATGAATCTTACATATGTGGATCCTATAGGGCAGTGATAGAAGGATGTAGGAGGGGAGTGCGCATCCAAATGGCTCAAATGACATTTTACATGTATGCTTTGTGGGATGTGCTTCCCCTTCAAATGTTTAAACAAGGCAATAGTGTCTTTTACTACTAACTAGTAGTAGCTGCAAAGTGATATTTGATTAAGCTGGCTCTCCCCTCCCAAATACACCTAGGCCCACACGATGTTCACGTACGAATTCATATACGCGTCGCTCCTCGGGTATGTAGTGAGACTTTCTGCCTGAGTCGCCAACATTTCTCATTCTGCAAAATTGAAGAAAACAGGTCGCGGCCAATCTTCTCTAAGGGCATGTCGCGAAAAGAATGCCAAGGCATGTCGAAGTCTCCTCCGTGCTGCAAAAACAGACTGCAATATTGCAGATGATGTGCCATGCTGCCCTTGCGTCGCGGAGATGGACAAATGGGATGGAATGCAAAGGCAATGGCACGCCCACTCACTTACAAGGATTTTTTGCGAGAAGCATCAGATCTATTATAAAAGTTCACCAGAATTACAAAGCATCTCAAACATAATAAAGCCTTGCTGCCCTTGCGTGACGAGTCACGGAGATAGATGAAGGGGGTGAAACGCAAAGGCAATGCCACGCCCACTCACTTACAAAGCTATAGTTAACTATCAAGTTGCCGACATTGACATCAATAGGGAAAGAATGAAAATGAGAACCTTTCAGTCGATCAAATAAGTCATATGGTAAAGAAAAACAGTTTGGGTTTATCAAAATAGATTGGTTACCGTCCAATTAATCCCGTAAGTGTGTAAAATTTGGGTTGAGATCTGTCGATGGATCGGGGTTCAGTTAAAACAGTCGTGCAAAAGCCATGGTGAAGAGACTGCGGTCAAGTTCAGAATTGATTGATGAGGTTTGTTGTTTAAGAATTTTTATATGTTTAG